ACTCTTGAACCTAAGCAGTTGAACATGCTCTGGAGAAAATACAGAATCAGGCTAGATTTGAATTCAAATTCATTCCAAGAATTCCAATAAACTCCCACTGAATCCAGGAATTCGGCTACATTTCTAAGTCCAGTGACATTATCCTCTAATTATATTCTGTCCTTTCCCTCCAATTTCCAAGTCTCCCTTGTCCTAACTAGAAGTTGATGCCATTCCTTTGCATTACCCTGAAAACAAAAACAAAAACAAAACACTTCAAATCGAGAGAAGAGTACAGTCAAAAGTTTACACCATTACTTCCAACAGCCAACCACCATCCATTCCCACCTGTGTTTCCATAGAGTTCTTAGCTGTTATGTCAGGCCAGTGGTTCTCAGCCTTCCTAATGCGACACCCCTTTAATACAGTTCGTGTTGTGGTGACCCCAACCATAAAATTATTTTGTTGCTACTTCACCACTGTAATTTTGCTACTGTTATGAACCACAAATGATGTAATGCCTGATAAGCAAGCCCAGGGGCCATGACCCACAGGTTGAAAGCCACTGCCTTAGACTGCTCTGACCTTTGTGCACTAGCTCCTGCTCACCTATGCTCTCCAGCATTATCTGTTCCCATCCCACCATATCCCCACTTAGGATGCCTTCATTTCTCTCCTGTTCCATGCTCTTCATCTCACTGCTTAACTTCTCAGAATTTTCCAAATTATTCTCTCTTCCACTCTTATTTAAAAGACCCCCAAATAGCCTGTGTATTGCTCACTCCAGGGCTCACTTTTCAGCCATCACTTTGCCTGTATTACTAACAGTGGACTGCTTCTTCCTTTGAAAACTTAGATTTTTCAGGATCTCGTGACCCGACCCTACCTCTTTAAGTCTCTGTAAATTTTTTTTCTATTAGATTGTGAGAAATGCTTAGTCCCTCCTCCCTCTTTCTATTTATATTATCTGATTGGTTTCTTCAGCCCAGACCTTTCCCAGAATGTCGTACACATTTCAACTCCTTTGTTGCTAGGGAAATGGTGCAGCATTTTTCCATAACAGTTGCACCAAGTGAACGTCCGAGACCCACGGAGTACCTAAGGTTTCCTTCCTCTCCAGCTCTTCAGATTGGCTATTGCTTTCTCTTTTTATAACAGTCATCCTAACTGGCTTTAAGTTGAATTTCGCTGATAGTTGATGACACTGAGCATTTTCCCACGCACTTATTTCTTTGTATTAGTGTTCAAGAAATGTCTATTCAAGCTAGGGTTTGTCTTCAGAACAAATATTTGCTGGAGTCTAGTAAATATTTAACAAACAAGGCTTTTTGAACTGAAAATATATACATACACACACAGAGAGAGACTGGGAACTCTTATCACGCTACATTAAAGCAAAAACAATCTTCTTTGCAGTAGGATCACATTGTAAATCACAAATGACTGAATGCTTAGGTGCATTCCTATGACTGAACACTACTGAAATTAAGTAAAACAAAAATTAAATAAAATAAAATTAAGTAAAAACTGAAATTAGGTAAAAATGGAAAAACAAGCTTCAGGCTATTTTCTGACTATGGTTTCTCCTATGGAAGTCAGTCTTCATTTAAGAGATGGATAAGTGAATACTAATTATGGTTTTCTGATTATTACTAGTTCCCTCACTAAAATCAAATGGGAAAGAGGCTTATAGAAGGAGCTCAGCTGAAGAATAAGTATTCTACAGTGAAATGTTCAGTTCATTCAAATGCAGAAGGGAAATATGCCCAGTAAGTTTGCTTCTCCTGGTTTCATTTATTCTTGGTAAATGAAATTAGCTTTCATTACAAGTAATTTCCAATTCTTCTACTTCCACATTCTCTCAAGTGTATTCTAAGACTCAAGGCCTTGGCGTGGTAGTGATGGAATACACTAAGTTTAAACTCAAATCTCCACTGATTAGAAATGTTATTTCTGTCTCAAATCCATAGTAGAGATGGACCATCACTAAAGTAGTACTTGTCTTAAAAGAGATGTGATCGGCTATAAAAGCATGGCTGCTTTTGTGCTAAACTTCATTTCTGAAGTTTTAGACTTACAGAAAATTTCCAAAAAAAAATGGCAGTGCTGATTTTATCTAATTATCTAAAAGAATTAGATAAGCACAGTTTTGTCTTGTTCCCTCTCCCCCCCACCCACCCCATGGTTAGAATCCAGTGTGGAATTGAGGAGCAAGACCAGAGAGCGATAGACTTACTTTTTTTTACCCTACTATATCAGAATGCACTCTATCATCATGACTTATCACTCATACATTTGCATTACCCAGAATGGGCAATGTCTATTACTTCCCTGCACCATTATTGTATACCTCCTCTGTGCTGCTTATTTTTTGTCAAGTTGACACAAGCTAGGGCATCTGAGAAGGGGGAACCTGGTTTGAGATAATGCCTCCAAGGTATTGGCCTGTGGGCTTGTCTGTGAGGCATTTTCTTGATTAATGATTGATGTGGAGGGTCCAGTCCAGTGTGGGCAATGCCACTCCTGGGCAGGTTAGTCCTCCGGTTGTATAAGAAAACAAGCTGAGTAAGCCGAGAAGAGCAAGCCAGTAAGCAGCATTCCCCCACGGTTTCTGCTTCAGTTCCTGTCTTCAGGTTCCTGCCTGGAGTGCCTGCCTTGGCTTTAATGATAGACTATAACCTGGAAGCCAAATAAACCCTTTCCTCTCCAAGCTGCATTCGGTCATGGTGTTTTATCACAGCACAGAAACCAAACTAGGATCTCCCCCTTTCTTTACCCTACACCTTGAAATCAAGTCATAAAACTCATGATGAAATTGGTGCTATAATTAGGGAGAAAAATTACTTTTGTTGTTTTTTTAATTTTATTTTTCCCTGTAGTGCTGGAGATTGTACACATGGCCCTGTGCATACTGGACAAACACTCCACCTCTCAGTTATGCATTTCCAGCCCCCGCCCCCAAATAATGTTTTAAACTAAACAATAATAGTGTTTTTGAGCTAGGGTCTCATGTACCCTCGACTGTCCATAAACTTACTAGGTAGCCAAGGAAGACCCTGACCTTCTGAAAGCCCCTAACACTGGGGTTATAGATATGTGCCACCATGCCCAATATATGCCTTGCTGGGGACTGACCCCAGGGCTTTGAGCTGATAGGTAAGCACTCACAAATGAAGTGCCATCCCAAACTCTAGTAACAAATCCAAATCTTTTTCAGTATCACAAATAGATATGGTACACTTCAAAGCATTTGCCCATGGTCTCAAGTGCTCACTTAAAATCAAGTCTTTCAGCCAGGTACTTCGATTTAGGTCTTCACAGGAGTTTATAATAAAGACGCCATGCCTTTAATCCCAGCACTCACTCGGGAGGCAGAGCCAGGCGGATCTCTGTGAGTTCGAGGCACCAAAACTACACAGAGAAACCCTGTCTCAAAAAACCAAAAAGGAAAAAAAAAAGAAGAAAAAATAAAAGAAAATGCAAATATTACTACATGTCGAAAATCAAATGCAGTTTTAGGGATGAACATTTTCATAACAATAGTATGCTTGACCAAAACAATGAAATCGGAAAAGAACTTGGACAGATAAGAGATGTGGGTGAGGGGAGGGTAACAAGTCAAGAAAAGACCAAGAACAAAGCAAGGGAGAGTTCAAAGGCAGGTTTTAAAAGCCCAGTTTCCGACAAAACAAAGAAACATTCTAGTATGTAAACTCTCATTTATCCCTTCCTCGCTAACAAAACGGAAATGTTAGTTTTATTTAAAATCTTCAGTAAGACGTCTAAGCATAAACATGCGGTTCTATAACAAATTGTACTCCCAAAACTTATGTTGAAGTCTTAATCCCTACTCTCTGAAAACTGCTGTATTAATAATGGGGTTTTTTAAGGACTCTATCAAACCTGGCTGGTGCAGACAGGCAGAGGAAAAACCCACGGTTAGACGCAGACTACCATCTACGGGCCAGGCCCTTCATCTCAGACTTCCCAGCTCCGGGGACTAACACAGACTCTGCATCTACACTAGAGTTTAATGAAGTGTGTTTGGGCAAGGCCCTCGACCGTGCTTAGGTAGTTAAGCCTTGTTTGGTTCTTTCGGATCACTAATGATGTGTGGAGTAAAACGAGAGACTGTGAACTCGGTGAGCTTTATGAACACCTCCAGGTCCTTCAGATGCAAACGTTCCAGGTTTGTTCATTGGGACTCCAGCACAGAATTGCTCTAACTAACTCGACCCCTCCAGGCATGGAGTGGGTGACCTCCTGAAGCTTTTGCGGCTCTCCCTCGGGCTTTGTAACCTTCATTCTCCATGACAGCAACTGCCGCCTCAAACGGTCCATCACTACAGGTTTCCCCGGGGCCCTCTACGCTGTCTCAAACCGGAATACAGGCGGGGGCGAGGCTGGTGTGGCTAAGTGGGCATTCCTCGGAGGGCGATCCCTTCCCCGTGCAGACTCCACGGACTGCAGCCGGGAGGGGAGAGCCGCGGCCCTCCCTCCAGGAAAGACGGCTGGAGGAGGGTCTGCGCGCCACCGACTCTCGCGCGGCCCACGACTTCCGGGTCTCTGTGTTCGAGAAGCCTCCGGTGCGCGGTGCCGCGCGAAAACCCTCACGAGATCAAACGGAAAGGGGCAGCTGAGGGGCGCCGGAGCCAGCGGGATCGGCAGCCCCGGCGAGGGCAAAGGCGGCGCGGACAGCTCCCGGAGCGGGGGGCGGGCCAGGAGTGCGCCGCCGGAAGTGACGTGTCGGGAGGCCGCAGTGCCCGGAAGCTGGACCTGCTAAAGAACGCAGCCAGGAGGCACAAATCTCTGCGCCACGACGAGACTTCAGACAGCGCGAGAGTTCTGGCTGGGGCTTTGTGTTCCTCCTTCCACCCACCCACCTCATGACCCGCCCCTCGGGTCCCGGACGCCGAAGCCAATCAAAACGACCGGGCCCGGAAGAGGTCGGGGCAGGGCGCCTAGGCCACGCCTCTCGCGCGGAGGCTCTCGGGAAAGCGTCACCGGGACTATAAAAGCGCACACGCAGCGCGTGGAAGTCCCTTTCGCTACGCCTGGGACGCTTTGCTGCTTGTTTTGTGCAATCCTCACGCCGAAGGGACCGTTAGGCCCGCATTTGTGAGCGGCCAAGATGCGGGAGGCACGAGGCCGTTGCGATGCAGGCCGCTGGCCATTAGCACCGCAGGAGCATGGTGAGGGTTAGCGCCCAGGCTACGGCCGCCGCTGGCCGTCGGCACCGCAGGAGCATGGTGAGGGTTAGCGCCCAGGCTACGGCCGCCGCTGGCCGTCAGCACCGCAGGAGCATGGTGAGGGCGAGCACAGGTTACTACGGCCGCCGCTGGCCTTCAGCACCGCAGGAGCATGGTGAGGGCGAGCACAGGTTACTACGGCCGCCGCTGGCCATCAGCACTGCAGGAGCATGGTGAGAGTTAGCGCCCAAGCTATGTGAAGCCGATCCCGGGTTAGGCGGCGCCACGCCGAGGACCGCCACTGTGTGATCGGATGGTGAGTGACACCCTTGGAAGTTAACCTGCTGGGTTGTGGAACTCCATGTATCTTTGGGACCTGCCGGCTGTGGCAGTCTCCCTTCCTAGCCATGGTAGAGCATGTTCTTGTTATTGGCAAAGCTGTCACCATTTAATTGGTATCAGATTCTGACTTGAACAAGCAACATTCTAAGTTGTTAAGAGTCGGCGCGTTGCCAGGAAGTTGGACATGCTTTACTAAACTGTTGAAATGTATGTTTTTAGGTAACCTGGATTCATTGCCGCTGGGTGATGGAAGACACGTTAAGGTAAGTTTCGTCTTTTGAATGTTTTCGGAGTTCTGGGTGTTGAGAAAGCCGTTATTGCGATTAGGCGCAGTTTGTTTGCACTTGGTCTGATATTATGTAACTTAGATAATGGCCAATTGTGTAGAAAGTCGCTGAACTGATAGGGCCTCAGGACTGTGAGGGAAGTACACAGATATTCTGTAATGATTGGTTTTCTTTTCTTGCAGGTATTGTTTAAAAGCAAAATAAAAGTGGTTGAGATCTTCCGGGCACCTTACAAGGGATCTTCACACTCACTTGGAAATGAGTACTTTTAATATTAATACGTCACTATACAGTCCTGACCTTTATTTTACATAAAGTCATTCATAAGCCAAATAAAGCTTGGTTGATGGGTAATAAGGATGTGTACCGTTTTATTTCTGGAGACTGAGAGTTCTGATACAGAGCACATTTGCAGAGTTAACTGGGATAACCTTCTAGAGTCGTTGACTTAATTACATAGGCAACCAGTGTATAGTTTCCTTTACAGGAAATCTACATTGCTCCCCAAGCCCTTCTGTAAGCTAGTGCCATGTGAGAATGGAGTTTTAGAAAGACAAGGCGTTAAAATACCCCCAAAGTGAAGAGTACAGCACCATTTGGTGGGTGGGGCATGCTTTGTGACAACAGGTACCTAATGGTTATTTACAGCCATATCAGAGTGGGCGGCAACCTTACCATGTTAATGAGTTTGGGATTTGAGAAGGCTCTGACAGTACTCATGTTCAAGAGTATGATAGCATTATCTTGGGAACCATAGAGGAGGAGGGATCCATCAGCATAGGGATTCTAACTTGGAGTACAGATTCCTACCCTCCATCCCTCTTAGCCTGCTTTCCCATTTGAAATGGACCACTGTAAGATCTCCATGACTTCCCAAGTTGTCAATTAAGTTATATGGTCATGTGTGTGCCTTGTTTTAGGATGTATGCATTTTTTTATTGCATGTATAAAATGGGATGTGACTGGTTGTCTTGAGAAATCTGTAGGCTTACTGGAAAGTGCCAGTAGATGGCACTCTTCTACCATAGTCCAAACACTAGTAAAATTCAAGTGATAACCCACCTACTGTATTTTGGGGAAATGAGGATTTGGTAGTAGCCTATAGGTGGCTAAAACATGTCCTTGGGCTTGCTTGTTACTAACGTACTTGTGAGTAAATCGTTGAGTAAATGGCTTGATCTACCCCACCTTTTAAGTTTGTCCCATTCTGTCCCCTGATTTCATGATTTAACAAATGCTAAGAAGATAGTATGTTACAAGAAGGTATCAAACTTGATATGCCAGTCTTAGTGTAGGTAAGATCTGGTTTTAAGTAGTTTAGGACAAATTTATAAACTTACAAAAATTACAATAGGCAAAGATGGTAAATCTCAGCATTACACTGAAGTGCCTGTACCCCAAAACTGCTGGAGGAGGGATCTCGGGATCCAGGTGTTGTCTTCCCTGGCTTGTTGCCAAATACAGAGACTGGGTACTTCCCATCAGTTTTCTTTACTCTTCTTGAGCTTTCTATAAATTACAGTTTGGTGATGCTTTTTATCCATGGTACAAAGGCAGGGACTCTGGTATAAACACCTGGAGTGTCTTTGATTCCACAGCCGTACCCCCAGGAAGTCACCCCATATACAACCCAGGTCTCATTGGGTCTTTCGCACATAAGTGGTCCTCCGCTGTCTCCCTGGCAGCTGTCCACACGGTTGTTTTCTTGGAGGTCTCCAGCACAGAGCATTCTCCCAGTAAATAGAGCCTTGTAGCGCTCTTTACAAAACCTCTTGGGGAGTAAAGGCACAGCCGCTTGTTGTAGAGTTCTGGAGTAAGCACGCCCTGCTCAGACCAAGGAAAACCGAGTTAGAGATTTCAGCTAATGATCCATTTAACACTGACCATGTAGTCATCCTAAAACACTGCAGCACTGATTTCAAAATGGGGATACTTCTAAGTAACTAGGATGGGAGTTGTTTAACATAGGGATGTGACAGTATGTATATAAGGATGGTTAGAAATATAATGCACATAACTTCCCATATAAACAGGCGTAAGTCACACCACTGGTATTCATAGAATCTGCCTCCTGATAGGCCATTATTTGTGGAATGACTTAAATGTACAACTGCTAATGTCCTCCATGTTCTCAGTCTACTAACTGGGAGTAACTAGGCCATCCTAGAAAATGCACTGTCCTGGTCATTCAATGTATCCAAAGGAAAGCAAATAATCTCCTGTGAAAGAAATCACAGTTGGAAACAGCAGCCTTCTCAGAGGGATTGTTAGTGCTGTGAAGAAACAGGCAAGTTTAGCTTACTTCATAGTGAGGTTTGTTGGTACATGCAAAGCATATTTCCAACACCTGCGAAAAATACACTTGCTGGACACTTTTTTCAAGAGTGTGATTATCAGTGAACTTTCTTGATAGAAAGCCACCAACCTAAAGATTTCTTCATACTCATTTTTTAATTGAGCACCTGATCCTAGTGATACCTTGGTCTATTTTTAGGCCTGTGGTAGAGTATCTGCTACTTGATGTGCATGCACTAGTTTGTCTCCACAGCAATACAACCAACTGAAGCTGTTCCCTTCACCTAAGAACCCATGTTGAATACTGCTACCACTGCTTAGAGGCTGGGAGCAGAAAGGATGAGGGAGACATTTCAGTGCTTCTCTTTCTTCGACTTTAGTCTCCCTCCACTGAAGATTTGCTCTTTTCTGGCCAAATTTTAGGAAATCTTAAAAGTCAGCTTAATGGGGGTTCCCTGGCAAAGAGAACAAACACCAAAGCCTTTTACTGGGCCCACTACTTCAATCTTGTGGAGAGCTTTCGAAACTACATCGGATTCTAGATGGAATTCTTGGGCTGGGGTCTTTAAATCCCTTGGCTGTCCTCTCACTGGCCTGGGTGACTAAGAGTTGTAGAACACTTTCTACTCTGCTGGCAGGTGAGTTCTATCAGCTTGTGCTGACACTGGAATTTGAACCAACACTCTCAGGATGTAAATCTAGGCTCGTGTGTACATTTCACAGCTGGCAGACTTCAAGCATCAAACTTGAGTCCATCTAAGCTCCTACCGCTGCACATCCTAACATGTAGACACCAGACAGGAAGCTGCCCAGTTTTCCTAGATTGTTTCTTTGTTTTTTATATTACCTGTGTCTCCCCATCCTGTTATGTGACAATTGGAGGCTGTTTTCTGTGGCCTCTCTCTCCAGAGAGGTAAACAAGCTGGCAAAACATGGGTGCTTAGTCTGGCACATTGCTCTCCTGGTCCTTGTAATCTAACCAGGGCAATGTCATAGTCACTGCTGTCTGGCCGGTAGTTCCTATGAATCACAATCTGCTGAACCCCTATTTCTTCTTCAAACTCCTCAGGTACCAAAGTATGGTAATCCCCAACTCGAACTGCATAGCTCCTCGTGTTGTTACCATACCTGAAAGGAAAGAGCCAGATGTGAGGCTTTTTTTCAGATAATGAAAATCGATGATTGACAGCTAGTAATGTTAAAATATAACAAATCTTATTCCAAGTTATGTCCTTCTGCAAACCATCTTTCGACTTCTCTGCTTCCCACCCCCTGAAGCCCGGTGCTATCTATCTTCTTACTTCACTAAGTCTAGAAGACTATTTCCTGGGAAGTAGCAAATGTGGAGAGGGAGTGGAAAATAAGGAAGGACCAAGCATCAGGATGTCAATCCCTTACCAAATGGGAAAGGCTCCAATAGAAACAGCGCGGAATTGCTATCCTGATTTGCCATGTTCACTTGCTGCATGGATGCATAAACACAGCTAACCTACCTACCTGTGTCCCTGAGCTAGTGCAACCCACCTTAACCCCAGAAAGAAGCCTCAGTTACTACCGGTGTGGGTCAAGTGCAACCAAACTATATCAGCGCATACTCACTGTATTTTGTTACTTCTTTACTTGGATGCCACTTCCATAAAGCCTACTTAGACACCCTAATATTTATATTGCAACTCACCTCTCCTTGCAATCCTGCTATTCTTGGTGTACTTAATCATTGTACGTTCACTTTTCTTTTTTGCACTCTTCATTAGTCTTAAACATTATTTAGTTTACTATTTAAACTGCATTGTGAAGATAGCAGATACTCGCAAGACGATACTTCCAGGCCCAGAATATCCTAGCCAACCTGCGTGGTTACTTCCTCCTCATTGAAGATAACAACTGCTTGTTCGGTCCTGATTACTTACAGCAGAACCAGGGCTTCTGGAACTTTTATTTGTACCTGACCCCAGGTATGCAGGAATATAAAAATAAACATTTAGTGGTAGTAAGTCATAAATTTGTTTTAAACAATTCTTTGGTGTGCATATAACTTTGCCACATACTAAAGATGAAAGCAAGCTTGCATACTAATGGGGTGGATATGTTCTCATTTTTATATAAAGAATATAATCTTAAGCCGGGCGGTGGTGGCGCACGCCTTTAATCCCAGCACTTGGGAGGCAGAGCCAGGCGGATCTCTGTGAGTTCGAGGCCAGCCTGGGCTACCAAGTGAGTTCCAGGAGAGGCGCAAAGCTACACAGAGAAACCCTGTCTCGAAAAACCTAAAAAAAAAAAAAAAAAGAATATAATCTTAGCTGATCTTAGAGCATCTTCAACACCTTTCAGAGTTGATTAGCATTTGATTTTGTATTGTTATTTTAAGACAGAATCTCACTCTGTAGCAAGGCTAGCAGGGAATTCACTATATTGAGCCCCAGACTCGCACCAATCCTCCTGCCTCAGCCTGCACCATGCTGATATTCCAGATGTGCTCCACCACGTTCAAGTTCACAATCACAGTTTTTCAAACCTTCCAGTCTTTTCTTTTTGCCTACCGAACACTAACCCTGGTTCTTAATCAACTGTCTGCATATTTCACACTGGCATCTAACTGCTGGGGAGAAAATGTTAACGTTAATTTTTCAATGCTAAAAACCTTTTTTTTTCCCTTAACAAAACATGAAATTCGCACAGTTTCCAAGACCTCCACTTGAGTTTAAAGCATTTATATTCAGTAGTTTGCTGGTAGAAATCTCCTAGAGGCTGGAATTAACTCCTGGCTGCCTTATTAAAATATGACCACCACCCCCCCATTTACTTTGTGTTAGGAGAGGTTTAAACCTTACTATCGGCCCTAAATAAGGCTCTGACCATCTTGTATAATTATGCAGCCATCAACTGCATAAATCCCTGAGGTTCCTGATCACTCTCCATTTTCAACTTGAATCTATATATCTTTAAAGTTCAGAGAGTTTTTCACTCTTATACCAAGTATGCTTTTGCAGATTCATTTCAAAATGTAAAATATATATTTTTCTATAAATTTATCTTAAAATTATCTGGACTGTTTAAAAATGCAAATAAAAAAACTACACACCAGGGCCAGTGTTGGTGGCACATACCTTTAATTCCAGCACTGGGGAGGCAGATGCAGAGTTCAAGGCCATCCTGGTCTACATAGCTAGTTCCAGGACAGCCAAGACTACATAGACCCTATCTCCAAAAAAAAAAAAAAAAAAGTAGAAAGAAAGGAAACATAGATAGATAGGTAGATAACGCACCAAAATTAACCAGACCCAAAGTCTACACATCTCAATTATTTGAATAACAATTCTGAAGCTATGGAGTTTCACGTTGGACTTTTTCAAATTGGACTTTCAGTATCAAGTACATCTTTATGTACTTATCCATCATCAAAAATAAAAATCCATAATTAAGACTAAAAGAACAATTGAGTCACACAACAGATATCCATTCATCTGTTGATGGATAACTAGATGGATTAATTCCAATTTGTTGCTGTAGGGAATGGAGCAGCAATGAACATGGGGGTGGACATATCTCGATGGTAGGGTATGAAGTTATCTGGGTATATGCCCCAGAGTGAAATAGCTGGGACATATGTTCTCTACTTGATTTTGTGAGAAATCTCCAAACTGACCTCCACAATGTCTGTATTAATCTGCACCCACACCAACAGTGGCTAAGGGTTCTTTTCTCTTTACATCCTCTCGAGCATTTGTTGTCAGGTTTGTTGATGATAGCCATTCTGACGAGAGGTGGGGGTTATCTCAACGTAGTCTTGCGTTTCCTTGATGGCTAGTGTTTGTTTGTTTTTCCTTTTTTTAAAAAACTGTTCAGTTCACAGGGCGTGGTGGCACACGCCTTTAATCCCAGCACTCGAAGGCAGAGGCAGGTGGAGCTCTGTGAGTTCAAGGCCAACCTGGTATACAAAGCAAGTTCAAGTTCCAGGGTGGCTACCCAGGACTGTTACACAGAGAAACTCTGTCTCAAGGAAACAAAAACAAAACAAACAAACAAACAACACTGCTCAGTTCATTTGCCCACTTGGTATTTAATTTCTGCAACTCCTTGTATGTTCTGGGATAATATCTGTGTGATATTAGCTCACTGTCTGAAGTATAGCTGGAAAAATTCTCTGTGAATCTGTGGGCTCAGCTGATTGTCTCCTTTATCTATGTATACTCCTGTCTTTTGATACTGGGGTTAGTCCCTGTGCTGTTGATGTGTTTAAAAAGTTCCTGTCAGGCCGGGCAGTGGTCGCGCGCGCGCGCCTTTAATCCCAGCACTCACTCGGGAGGCAGAGGCAGGCGGATCTTTGTGAGCTCGAGTCCAGCCTGGTCTACAGAGCGAGATCCAGGAAAGGCACAAAGCTACACAGAGAAAAAAACAAAACAAAAAAAAAAAAAAAAAACAATAAGTCTCTGTCAGAGGGCAACCTTGAGCCTTATTCCTTGGGTACCTCCCTCTTGTTTAACAATGTCTCATATTGGCCTGGGACTTGAGGACAGTGATCTGATGAGTCAGCTCCCGGGATCTGCCTGCAGTCTCTCCATCCTTGGTATACAAGCATGCTTTTTATGGGTTCTTGGAATTTGAACTTGGGTCCTCATGCTTATGAGGTGTGGTAGTTTCAGTGTAATTGGCCCCCATACGCTCATAGGGAATAGCACTACTGGGAGGTGTGTGTGTGTGTGTGTGTGGCTTTGTTGGAGTGGGTGTGGCCTTGTTGAAGGAAGTGTTGTGTTGTGGAGGCAAGCTTTGAGGTCTCACACATGCTCAAGCCATTTCCAGTATGTTAGTTTGCTTTCTGTTGCCTTCATGAGATGCAGAACTCAGCTACCTCTCCAGTACCATGCCTGCCTGCACACCACCATGTCCACCATAATGATAATGGACTAAAACCTCTTAAATGTAAGAATGAAATGTTTTCTTTATAAGAGCTGCTGTGACCATGGTGTCTCTTCACAGCAACAGAAACCCTGAGACACGAGGCAAGCATTTTATCTTTTATTAGACTGATCCGTCTTCCCAGCTCAAACTCCAGTTACTCTTAAAATGGACTATTAGGCTTGAGATCTGAGGGACATCTGATAAAAATCTTGACTAGTTTTCCAATCAAGTATCTGTCTACTACAGCCAGTCTTCCTCGTGGATGTTATTATGTACTTCAGGGAGGAAGCTTTGCCCTGGTATATTTCTGGATGTCAAAGATATGTGTGACTCAAGCCTTCTCCAGAAAATGTAAAGAAAAACTTTTTTCATGTATTTTATTCTTTCTGGCTTAGCTGAATTTGTGTTATATTGTTAGATGTTGTATTTAAAAAAAAATTCTAAAGCAAACATTTTAAGTTTTGGCTGACACGTCATTGGGTTGTTTGTTGAAATTCCTTCAACTGCCCACAAATGACAATTGGATGAAACTCTCAAACAAGTTTGTGCAAGAGAGGATCTAAGACCAGGCAGCTTAGGAAATGTAATATTAATAATCCCGGTTTCTCTGATATTCTGTCATTAAGATGAACAACAACAAATTACTAGAACTAAAAAGTAAAGAATTTGGTTAGGTTTTAGGGTCATATGTAGAGAAAATTTGTGTTTCTTCTCTACATGGAGTCATTTCTCAAAAATCATAGTGTCTTATATCAGCCTGCGCACATCACTACCACTAGAATCTGCTTTTTCTCTGGTGTCTCGATTAAACTCAGAAAGTCCTTTACTGAAGTTGCCTATATAAACTTTTGCCGTTGCTACAGAAGGAGTTATGTTACTGGGACCTTGCACTGTCCCTGACATATATATGCAGGAATGGCTTTGGTATGATAAGTGCTATGGGTCTCAGCAAAGACCATGTTCTTCAGAACTCTATTATACAGGAGATCGTGGAGAATGCATTTGATACACTGATTTTTAAACATAACTCTCATTACCTCTGGGATTAGTCTTTCTACTTAGAAGTATTTACAGAGTCCTTCATGCAGAGCAGTAATCTCTGCCATTTGTAGCTGCTCTGGTATTTCCAGGCAAAAAGTCAAAAAGATAAAACCAGGTAAAATGATATTCTTGTGCAAATTAAATTTGGAGTACTTACAGAAATGAGAGAGTGCTGTTTCACACGCTTA